ATATCTGTACCAGTTTGATATCCATCCCACGGGCAGGCATCAATCCCTAACACTATTAATGATACTCTGTTATGCTTGCAGACAGGGGCATGTTGTCCTCTGAGAGGGGCCACATGATTCAGACAGATACAGACATCTACAGCCAAACAGGGGATGGAGCTTGGGGACTCTTATGGAAGAAGAGCAGGAAGGATTGAAGGGTCCAAAGGGGATAGAAAACTGCATAGGAAGACCAACAGAGTCAACTAACATGGATTCTTGGGGCTTTCAAAGTCTGAACCACCAATCAAAGAACATACATGGGCTGGACCTAGGCTCCCCGCACATATGTAGTAGATACACAGCTTGGTTTTCATGTGGGTCCTGAACAATTGGAATGGGGACTATTCCAAAAGCTGTTGCCTGTATGTGGGATATGTTCTTCTAGCTGGGCTGCCTTGTCTGGCCTCCATGGGAGAGGAAGTACCCAGCCTTGCAGAGACTTGAAGTGCCAGGGTGTGGGGAGAGATACCCAGGGGCCCCACCCTCTCAGAGGAGAAGGGGTTAGGGGATGGGGAAGGATTGTTGGAGGGGACAGTGATCAGGATATAAAGTGAATAAGTGAAAATAAATAAATAAATAAATAAATAAATAAAAACAAAACAAAACAAAAACAAACCAAACAAAAAAATTAAAATGATAAGGGTAGGTAATAAAGGAGAAGTTTCTGTCTTGGCATACTGAAGGGACTGTGCTGTCTCCACTGGAGGAAAAAGAAGAGGCATTTGCAGTGGTCAGTGAACAACCCTGATGACTTTGTGTTCGCCTTTAGTCAAATATAGAAATATGAACTTTACCTATTTATGACACTTACTGAATGCTTACTTATAATTACATAGTAGTCTCTGTGCTTGTTCTGAGAAAAGTAGTAGCCTGGCAGTGGTGGTGCACGCCTTTAATCCCAGCACTTGGGAGGCAGAGGCAGGAAGATTTCTGAGTTCGAGGCCAGCCTGGTCTACAGAGTGAGTTCCAAGACAGCCAGGGCTACACAGAGAAATCCTGTCTCGGAAAACCAAAACCAAAACAAACAAACAAAAACAAAAAAACAAAAAAACCCCCAAAACAACAAAAAACAAAAAGAAAAGTAGTAAGAGTCATTTCCTGCCATCAAGGAGCCCAGTCCTGTAGGGAGAAATACCATTTCCTTTGTGAAGCTGGCATGCCAACTGGAAAGCCTGATTTCCTTTTCTCTACCCCTAAAGACTGGCAACCAGTCAGTGCAAGGATAGTATCCTACACAGACCAAGAGCTTTGGGTCATGTGACCTGCATTTGAATCTGGGTTATAGAGGCTCAGTAGTGATCTAGGAATAACCATCTGACCCTTAGGGTCAGTCCTTATAACTGCAGAATCAGATAAGGAAAGGTAGATAGAGTTCTACAGTGGAATATATGTTAGTGGTCATTAAATTATTATTAAAGCTACATTCATAATCCAAAGAGACTAAGGCCATGGTGGACAGCAAGTCAGGAAAAAAGGCCAGTTTTTACCACCATAGTAGGCAGCAGAAAGTCCATGTTGGAGGTACAAGGTTAACAGGAGTCAGAGTAGCAGACAAACAGGCTCTGGGCACCTACAGCCTTACCTGGTTCAATCACAGTTCAGCCAGTTATCACCTACGGAAAGTTTTATCTACAAAACGGAGTTCATAATACCTACCCAGGAGGGCTGTTCTGAGCATAAAAAGGGCTTGGCATGGTGCCTGGAAGAACTGTCACTCAATTAATGGCAACGGTTGCTACTATTAATATAATCATTCCCCTCTTTTGCCTCCTGAGGGATTTGTTTAGATGGTTAAGTTACTTGAGATTTGAGGAAGTGAGGGAAATGGAGGAGCTATTAAAGACTAGCTTAAAAGTTATTTTTAAATATAAAGAAAAGCAGTTTAACTTGGCTTGCTTCTCCTAACATGTGGTGTACGCATAAGTCATAGAAGTTGGCCACTGTTCTAGGGCTTAGAGCCTGATATAGCCTCCTTGTTAATGATTCCTTGTCTCCCACCCAAAGTAGGTCTTCCAAGAAGTGTTAATAAGGGTTCTCTGAGGGTGTTTAATTCTTTTCCAACTTGAATATAAACTCAAGTCACCCGAGGGCTTGTTAGAAATGCAGACTTTCATCTAGGAGATTTAGAGTAGGGCATGGGATTCTGCATTGCCAATGAGCTCCCGTGCCACTCCGAAGGATGGGGTTCTGAGGAAGTGGGTAGGCTCTGAGAAGACATAGAAATATTGTTGTTGGCCTAGTGCTTGTTACCATGACCTACTTCTCTTTAATGATCTACCTAATAACAGACTATTAATAGAATATGAAAAAAAGCTTGTTTCAGACCAGATTCGGAAATTCTGCATATGGACTCATTTCAAATCAGCATCAACTATTTTGAACAATTTCCTGGAACACAAAGTCTGCTTCTGAAGACTGCTCTTATTAACCTCGTATACACCACAGACTGTTAACTTCCTGAAGGCAGTCTTGCTTCTACTGTTACCTACAACTTCGTATCAGGAGATACTAAGGGGATGAATGAAAGGAATCATAGAGTCTCATCAAAACAGTCTTCTAGTCAGAGGCTTTACATCTGGTGAGTACCACCCCTTGAGTGGTTGTTCAGAAATATCCTGGAGATCCCCTTGCAAACACTACAGGCTATTGCTATTGCACTGACTGCTCACTACAATTTTATGGTAAGACCCTATTGCGAAGACACCATTTACTTTGCTCATAAGTTATGGAGGGAATCACGTTGGTACTGACTAGGAGACTTCCTTGTAGCTACTTTCAGGATATTGGAAGGTGTTATGCAGGTTGCTGGAGGATGTGGGGTGGGGGTGGGGGTGGGGGGTGGAAGCCATCAACAGTCTTACCCAGATGTGAACCTTGTGAATCGAAATAATGACCTGTTGTGGTAAGATACCCATGGCTGCAATAGTGGCATGGCTGTTATAGGGTAACACACTGCTTTCTGATTGGATTTAAGGCTCACTTTACAGGAGGAAACATGCCTGGTCCTATAGATCTGGTCAAGAGCCAATGGTTGGGGAGCTCACCGGCCCTGGTAGGGGAGAGAAAACCCACCACTAATTTTTCTGCTAAACAGATTTAGTATCAGACTGCCCTCTAAATCTGTGTCTCTACTAGTAGGATACCATAGCTCAGACCTTATCAGTGAAAATTCCTTGTACAGTAGGTAGACCTTATCAGTGAAAATTCCTTGTACAGTGGTTAATGCAGAAGCTTACAGCTGGTCAAAGCACAGAAGATAAGTGTTAGAGTTGAGTGCTCAGAGGGATAGCTATATCATCACCAGCCCCAAGGTTCATGTAGCCTCACAGAAGACTGGGCAGACACATTGTAAAAGCCAAGGCTTGGGGAGGAGCAGAGTGAAACAATGTATCCCGGACACACAATACATTGATAAACGCACAGCTGCTACAGCTGACTACACAAGAGTAAGCCAGTGAACACTTAAGCCTGGGGAGGACGAAGTTCATAAGGAGCTATAGACAGTTGATGGTTTTTGGGGCAGGAAGGCTCAGTTTTCTTTTGTGGCCCCTAATAGGCTGACCGTACTCTTGTGGATATGGGGGAGAAGAGGACAAGATGTTGGGAGAATCGTACGTGAGGTGGATCCAGGAGGAGTTGAGAGGAAGAGTGGGACTGAATATGATCACAATACGTTATATAAAATAACCAAAGAATAAAAAAATATTTAAAAAAAATGTCTCCAGGCACTACAGGACAATGAGACACTTTCTCAAACTAACTGGCGCTGCTCTCAGCAGAAATGCAAGCCCTGGTAAGTCTCAGGGAAAAGCTGCAAGTGGGAGAGAATGGGTTCAGGATATGGCAACCCATGAACCAAGCAGAGTGGAAGAGGCCTGGGGCTCAGCCAACTGCAAGAAGGCTGGGAAGATGAGACTGTGTCTTGAATATTCTCAATTGTGACCCCTGGAAGTAGATCTGATTAAAAGCAAAAACCACGTGGCAGTTCTGGGACAGATGTGGTGAACAAGGAGCAGGGTAAACACAAGGCCAAGAGGGTTGGCTAGTTCTAAAGTATGCAGGTGAATTATTCTTGAGTGAATTTGTACTCACAAGTGGTATCCAAAGAGAAACCCTATACACGAAGTCAAGTGCCATAGAACTTGCTGGGGCACCATGCTTGAGGACAGGAGGGATGGGGAGATGGTGATGGTGTTGAAAGCAACCCATTCATTTGGGTGCAAGTTTTATGGAGTCTCCACTCTGAGGAAGTATTTCCTTAAGTCCCCACCTACCCCACTGTGAAGAGCAAACGCTCTTGGCAATACAAACACTCCACTGCTTTGGTTGATTTTGAATCCCTAACCTGGCCATTTTCTATATCTGAGGAATGGCTGCTAGTAAGTTAAAAATGGAGAAGAACGCTCAAGGAGCCCAAAGCTTATTCTCTCTCACTCAAAGGGGCAGACCTAGAAACTCTGGAGACTTCTGTCTCTACTCCGCATATGGAAGACGCTGTCAGCAGCTGGAGCTGTCCAGCAATGGAGTTCACTCTCATTGGAAATGGTGAGCTTCCAGCTCTAGGAATTTGAGGCAAAGGCTTTGTGGGACTCTGTAGACGGGACTCTGTAGCGTGTAGTGAGGTATGCAATAAACGCCTAAGGCTCTCCTGGGCTCAATCTTACAATATCTGGCACTTAGCAGACCCCAGAAAGAATTACAGGTGGGAGAGAATAGATCAGAAATATGGGTTAGCTGGTGAGCCAAGTAAAGTGGAAGAGGCCAGGGGCTCAGCCAGCTGCTAGCCAGGTAGAGGAACATGAGATAGCCAGGGAGCAAATAGCGGGCTCTCCTGGAGTTTTAGCGCCACAGATCAGAGAGAGGTATTGCTTTGGATGCTTAAAGCCTCCCATGGTTATGAAGGGCAGTTATCTTTGAAGGGGGATAGGATCTGGGGAAGGATAAAGACCACTGCTCACCCTTCTTAAACTCCTCCAGTACAGTGTCCAGCCGGGTATCATTGAAGACGCAATGCAGGGGCCTGTTGTAGAAGCGGGTGACTGTGAGCAGCGGGGTACAGTCGTCCGGGTCCACAAAGGCCAAGTCTTTGACGAACAGAATGTCCACAATGTTGTGCCTCTGGTCGCCCTCGTACACCGGGATTCGAGTGTAGCCACTACGGAGGATCTCGGATACAGTGGCGAAGTCAAGCACGGCGTCGGAGCGCAGCATGAAGCAGTCCCCGAGAGGGGTTAGCACCTCCTCTACCACCTTGGTGCGCAGCTCCAGGGCGCCCTGGATGATGTTGAGCTCTTCCTTCACCAGGTCGCTGTAAGGGTCGGCGGCCCTCAGCGTCTCCAGCAGCTTCTCCCTCGTGTAGAAGGTGCTGATCTCCTGGCGCAGGGCCCAATCCAGGAGGCGGCCCAGCGGGTAGCACACCGGGAAGGCGGCTGCCATGAGGAGCCGGGTCAGGCACACACTGTGCGAGGCGATGGCCAACCCGTGACGCGAGCACACCGAGTAGGGACAGATCTCGGCTCCCAGGAACACGGCGCCGGTGCACACGAGCGCCGGTAACCACGGGAAGTGAACCCCCGCCTCGCCGGAGTCCTCCCCGGGGTCCCCGACGCCCGGCGGCAGCGAGGCGTACAGCCAGCCGGCCAGCGCGGCATTGGCGCCGGCTTGGCCCAGGAGCAGGGTGCAGAGCAGATGGGTCCCCCTGCCGCGCACGGCCTGCACGCGGCGCGCCTGCTCCTGCTCGGCGGCCGAGCCACTGTTCCGCAGCACCCGTAACTCCACCGGGTCCAGCGAGAGCAGGCTCAGGCGCAGGCCGCTGAACAGGGCGGACAGGGCCAGCAGCAGGAGCGCCCCGAGCGCTCGCAGCCACGCGGGCGGCAGCAGGTCCCCACCCGGGCCGTAGAGGCGCGGGCGGACGCGCAGCAGGAAGCCGCCGGCCGCGCCGTGGTGGTGCCAAGCGCGCCCGTCCCAGGCGCACAGCGAAAAGAGCTTCCCGCCGCCGCCCGCGCCGCCGCGCTCCGCCTCGCCCTTCCGCAGCTCCCGCACCCGCACCTGGACCAGGGCCGAGCCCGCCACGCCCCCGGGGCGCAGGGGCCCCAGGACCTCCACGTCCGACGCCCAGCCGCTCTGCTCGCGACAGCGCTGCGGTCCCGGGGGACGCGTGGGGACCGCGCTGGGCGCCGCGCCACCCGCGCCGGGGGGCTCCTCGATGAACACGAGCCTCGGGGCCCAATCGCCCGTGCCGTTCTCCCCCGGGGCCAAGGAGGGTGCGGGCACGGGCGCGGCGGGGACCGCCGGTCCAGGCTGGAAGTAGACCCGCAGGAGGAAGCTGGTGCCTTCGGCCGCCCGCAGGGTGCCCCCCTCTAGGGACACGCGGCCTCCGGCAGTGTCTTCCGGTCGCAGACCCAGCAGCCAGGCAGCGGCGGCCGGGGGCCGAGGGGACAGGGAGAAGAAGAGCAGGAGTACGGCGCCCCGGCTGCAGCAGTCCCGGAGCCTGACACCCAGCGCTGCTGCCGCCGCGGCCGCCGCCGCCATCCTGCACCCGGCGCGGTTGCACGTGATACTGCAGCAAGCCGAGCGCGAGCTGGAGGGAGGGAGGAGGAGCTGGAGCCGGGAATCCGGCCCCAGGCAGGTCACCACGTGTGCGCCCCTTGCGCGCGTGGGCTGGAGGCGGGGGTGGGGGAGGTGATGGTGGGAGTGGTAGGAACCCGCCTGGGAGGGGTCCCCTGTGGGCGGCTGGGGATGGCCAGGCACCGTCACAGTGCCTAGCCTGGGTACACTTAAGTGTATCTGAGCCCTGGGAAGGCTGGTATGGAGCATGGCCTCCTACATTTGTCCTTCCCCCTCGTCAACTCCCCGGACCCCCCATTCCACTCCCTGCCCTTATGTCCAAATTCCAGGCAGCAATTCCAAATTGCAGGCTCATTGCCTTCCAATGGATCCAGGAAATTTCCCAGCGATTTCCTGTCTCTGGGGTTCTTGCTTCTAATTAAAAGATATTCTGATGGTTGGTCCTATGAGATCTGTGAAAAATTTTGGCTTCAATTCTAGCTAATCTTTCATATTGTAAAAATTTCCAAATTATTTAAATTCAACTCCTTGTTAAGATACAAGTGTTCATCAATAAACTGAAATGCATTATGGGACATTTTGGAATAGAGTACTACGCATCCAGGAAAAGACTGTACAATATCCAATGTGTATGTAATACTGAAAAGTCACCAAACCAGTAGGAAAATAGTAAGGCTCGGAACGGTGATGTGATATACCACTGTTTTGTTGAAAGTGTTCATGAATAAAGTTTATGCACATGCTGGTGTATGCCAATATCAGGTTTCAAATGGGAAGCATGTTCAAGAAATATAATAATAGGATTAGTCTGATGTATAGATTAACAAGAAGTTCCAAAAAAAAAAAAGAAATACACAGAAGCACATCTGCTTTTCACTCAGTTCCTCTCACGATTTACATCAAGAGCAGAAACTGACATTGGGGTAAAACTCCTATCATTTTGTCATATCTAAATTTGTGTAACCACCATCACCATAGTAAAAATACACATCTGACTCTTCCCCAGCAAGATCTGCGAGATCCCCCCCCATTGCTCACGTTATTTCTATCCTCCATCTGCTGGTATTGCTTTATTTTTGTGCCTTGTTTCTTAAGTGTATGTAGCAAAATTCACTTTTTTTTTGTTATATTGCTATGTACATTCCATTGCCTCTTGAGACTGGGTCTCATGTTGCTTGCATAGGACAAGCTCACTAGATTGCCAAGAATGGCCTTGCACTCCTGATCCCAGGACTATACGTGTGCACCACTACTTTCTGAAGTGCTATGTACACATCAGTGGATGCATATTCATGTACCCATCACAGGAAAAAGTAGTTCCATTTTGAACTGGGGATGGAGCACACAGTAGGCCCTGAATTCCACCCCTCCCAACACACACACCACACATGCACTTGGAGTGGAGTGGTTCCATCATCAGCCTTTCCTCTGTAGTCTTCTTTTCCAGAGAGTCATATGAATAGCAAGCAAGTAGCGTTTGGGAGCTGCCATTGCTCACTGTGTATATTTAACATTCATCCGAGTTGCATGTGCCAACAGCCTATCCATTTGTAGATGAGCAGAATTGATTGTGTGGATAAGTCACATTTTGTTCATCTAGTTAAGGGATAATTGAAATTTCCATTTTTTTGGCAATGCTAATGAAAAGCTCTAGACATTTGGTAACCATTTTCATGTTTTCATTCCTTAGGCGACTATACCATAGATCTGTATAATATTTAATTAATAACTGTTTATTCTGAAGTCACGTGTGTGTGTGTGCATCTTTGTGTGGATGCACATGTGTATGTGTGTGCCTGCACCATTCATCTTGTTTTGTTTTTGAGGCAAAGTTTCCCATTGGCTTGTCTAATTCTGCTAGACTGGCTGACCAGCAAGTCCCTAGAATCCTTCTGGCTCCACTTCACCAGCACTGGGATTCCAAGCAAATACTATCAGCATTCCCCCACACCCCCATCCCTGTTTTGAATTTCTGGGGATCTGATTCTAGCCCTCATGCTACGTGGCAAGCACTTTACTGAGTTATATCCTCACCTCCTGAAGTTACATTTTTAAAGGTTCATTTTTATTTTATTTATTTTCACACCGAGGATTAAACTCGGGGCCTCCTGAGTAGTAAGCAGTCTGTCTCTGGTTTTATTTTCAATTGACAAATCATAATTACTTATGGGTAATGGTTGGTATAGATATGGCTATAGAACGACCACACTGAGGTCATTGACACCGCAATTATCTTTGTAGAAGTGAAAATGCTTAAACTCTTCCTTTAGTGCTTTGGAGGTGTTCGGGATATCAGCTGGAATCACTGCTGTGCACCAGGCTCATTCCTCCCACTGAGCTGTCACTTTGTAGCCATTAAACTGCGCCTCCTTTTCTAGGTCAACCTCCCCAGTAGCTGCTGATAAACACCATTCCACTCAGCTCCCATGGTTTGGACCTTTTCTTTTTGTTCTTTCTTTTTCTCTTACATCACATGTGTGTTTTTAGATTTTGCATGGCTTTATTTGTGTATCTCTCTCTCTCTCTCTCTCTCTCTCTCTCTCTCTCTCTCTCTCTCTCTCATCTATCTATGTGCATGTGGGGTAGGTGGAGGCCAGAAGAGAATATCAGACCTTCTGGAGCTGGAGTTGTAGACAGTTGTGTGCTGCTGGGAACTGAACTCTTTTCCTCTGAAAGAGCAACAAGTGCTCTTAACAGCTGGGCCACCTCTCCGGTCTCTCACTTCTCTCTTCTAATTGGGCTCCACTGCCCATTAATCCTGTGACTCTCACAAATTAACCCAAATGTAATCTCATTTTTTTTCCACTCATGAAGACTACAAGGAACACTGTGCTTGGTACAGGGTAAGAGCTCAACACACAATAACAGATTTCATTATTAGGAATATTAATATACATTTTTGTAGTTTTATAAAAGTAACATAAAATGGTCAAAAGGCACGGGGTGCCCACCTACAATACAACCCCTACATCTAAGCTCACAGAACATCACTGACGAGGGGAAGGAAAGATTGTAAGCGGCAAAGGGCCAGGATGCTGGCTGCCAGTTGGTGTTTTCTATGTATGACAAGGAAGAAGCACTGCACACATCACATCTCAGTGGTATGGTTGCCTAAATAAAACCTGAGAAATGACAGCACCAACTGCCGTGCCAGTTTGCATGGGGGAAGTCTCACAAGGCCCTACCCTCAGATGAAGAGCAACAGACAATCAATGACTGTTGAGAGGAGAACGAGCCCCCTGGTAGGTTATCCGATCCCTACCCATTAGCTCTAAATGTACATACACATGAGCAACATTAAATAAACTTAGCAAGTTGTACTTATATATTTGTTATTAACAATATAATTATTATATTAATAATACAATAACATAGTTATTAACAACAATAACTAAAGAAAAAGAGGCTATGAATTTGAGAGGGAGCAGGCTGGGGGTGGGAATCTTCATGGCGGGAGGTTGGAAGGAGAGGAAAGGTGTATATGTATAGTCCACATATTTGAAGTTTAAAAAAGTAAGTTTAAAAAATATTTAAAAAATAAAAAAATTAAAATAGTATTAAAAAGAAATAGAAATTGTGAAAATATTTTCACAATTCTTCAAATGCGTAAACTCATCTATTTCCACTGTGTGTGTGTGTGTGTGTGTGTGTGTGTGTGTGTTAGAGCTATGTGGATCCAAAGTTATTCATCTTCACTAAAATCTCTCATATCTCTCCTCGCAATTTTCTTTCCTCCTCAACTGAACCCTCTAACACAAAGACACTGGTTTATCATAAGGATTCTTGCACCTTTATTAAGCCAAAGAGTCGATCATCATAAGAGTATCACCTAACACCTTTATCAAGCTGTAGATGCACACAAGATCCCTGTGAAGTAAAAATAATTACAGCCATTTTACTAGGTAGTCTAAATGGCTAGTAAGACATTTTTGAAACTCTATGTTCATGTTCCTTCCACCATGAAGAATGAAGCAGTAAACAAAATGAATTCTTCCAGAAATATTAGACTAGGAATTTAAATTCTAGATACCTGATTAAAAAGAACCATGTGCTCATAATAACAAAATTTTAACACAGAAGAACATGAATAAATAAACTGTAGAACAACCAGAGATAAATGTGTAATCTTCAGGCATATTCTTTTAAAAATTTCTACATAGATAAGAAAAGCACGCACACTTGAGCTCCCTGCGTTTTCTATATTTTCTAGTTATTTACAAAGTTCTACTCTGTTTTCTACCACTTAACAAATCAAGATCATTTCCTCCGATGTAACAGAGAATTCTTGCAAAAATAATAATATTTGCTCTTATCCACTCCTTTCCTGCTCTCAAGTACCCCATCAAGGCCTCAGGTACACAAAGTGTGAGTTTTTCTGCCAAGCTACATTGCAGCCCTTCATAAAAGTCAGTTTACAGGGAGAAGAAAGGGAGAGAGAGGGGGAGGGGAAGGGGAGAGGGAGGGGGAAGGGAAGGGGAAGAGGGAGGGAGAAGGGGAGGGGGCGAGAGGGACAGGGAGAAGTGGAGGGGAGGGGGAGGGGGAGGGGGAGGGAGAAAGAATGAGCATGTTCTCTATCTCATCAGATCTATAAACAAGTGTTAGGCTTAGAAAATCAATTAGTTTTCTTAGCCCAGTTCCTCATCTGTGAAATGAGTTTTCAGCTCTCCACCCTTTCGTGAGTCAGCATGTAAGGGCTAATGACCCCCAGGTGAAGATAATCTAGAGAGATGGAGTACTTTTCCTTTAGCTGAGCATGAGGTCCTGGAAAAGTACTGGGTTTCCTGAGCTCTGCTGTAACTGCAAGGATCCTTGGGGGCAGGTTCAGCTATCCTGATTGTCCTAAAAAGGAGCCTACGAAAATAGCTCCCAGAAACCAAATGTCCCCTCTCTTCCTCATTTGTAAGGTAACAATTCCCCACTTCTAGAGAAAGAGAGGAAGTAATATTTACCTCCAATGCTATAAATGT